TTTGTATAATAGATAATAATTTATAAAAGTTTCTGCTGTCTTTCATTCTAACATTTCGAAATCACAACAACAGAATAGCAAATCAAACGCTCTTAAAACCAGAGGGAATACATATTCAATGACGGTAAATGAAACTATTAAGACTAAAGACTATATTCAGAGAACTCATTTAGATTATGATTAGGAGTATATTAATAGAAAAGCAAATCAAATGCCATAGCAGCTGCTGCAAAATGCAAATTTAACGCATAAAATTGTTGATACGAAAATAGATTTTATAGTCAAAAACCGAATGCGAATTTAATTGATCGTGTGTTTTTAATTGATTTAATATCGTATACTTAACAACTCTTGCCATAATATGGTGATTTTTTTCTGTAGAATTGACATCTAATTAATGAAACATAAAAGTAATTAACTCATGCTGTGAATAGCAGAGTTTATATATCGATACCACGCTTTTCAAGAATGTTTATACACAATATTATATTTTATCTTTCGTTTTCAGGGAATACAAAAGCTCTCTTACAATATGTGTAAAAACTGGATAATATTGTAGATTTCTTCAAAAGTCTAAGAACTTCATTATCTTATCTATTTTCGACAAAGATACACTGTCGATATAGTTACAACAATATAAAAGTTATAAAAAGCCTTATAAGGTAGGAAAGCCCATGTTGAATAAATGTAAATAATAAATAAAATCAAATAAATGCCTCTCACACAATGGGGGGGATTTTATTTGCCATTCGTTTAGCGAATCACAGTCAAGGCTATTTAACTTTTAAACATCAACAAAAAATTACTTTTTGATATATTGAAGAGGCTAAATGGCAGTATAACCATATCATACTATTTTCTTTAAAAAAAATTAGGGAGCAATGTATAATATCCATCTAACAAAATAATAAGACTAAACTCCTAGTTTAAGCTGTATTTATATTTTTCTATACGTTTAATTTAAGTTATTGTAATAATAATATACTTGTAAATAGTATAATAAAAGTTTTACATAAAAAAAAAATCTAACAAAATAGTACAAATTAAGCTAAAGCTTAGCCTTAGATTCAAAGTTTTATTCGAATGATAATAAAAATAATATATGGACTGTGAAGTTTAAATTTGGAGAACTTTTACTTCGTAAATATCTTAATTTAATGCTAATTCCAAAAAAGGTATGCCAACTTAAGATTGCAAAATATTCCTTAAGGCTTACAATAATTCATAAAAAGAATCGAGTGGAAAATAAAGCGAAATGTTATAGCCATTTCTGTTGTTGTGACTGCTATTATTGGCAGTATTGTCGTATCTCTGTTTTTGTTGTTGTTGTTGTGCCAGATATGCGAAACAATTTAGTGTCTTTGAAATGCGCGAAATGTCTTCGCATAGCAAATGCAAAAAAAAAGAAAAAATTAAATAAAAATGAGAAGAAAAGAAAACAAGCCCACACGTTGTTGGACCGCATTGTCGGACCTTTCGGGCACACCTAGGCGAGGCCAAGACGCGCAATGAGAGCAGCAAACGGTTGGTATGTTTGTGGACAAATGTGTGTGTGTGTGCTGGTTGCGCATGCGCATGCGGCAGCGGCAGCGGCCAAACGTCTAACCAACGTGCGTCGCATGCCAAATGAAAGGCGTGCGAAACTATTTTTTTCTTATATATATATATTTTTTTTTTTTTGCCTTACACATTGCGGGGCATAAATTATGCTGCCTACCAAAATGTGTACGAATGTCTGTGCGTGCCTGTATGTGTGTGTGTGTGTGTTGGTGTTGGCCAACAATTGGAAGCTAAGGCCAAAGCAACGATAGCTCAATAAAACAGATAGACTGCTTGAAAGGCTTGGATAGCGTTGACAGCAGCAACAACAACAACATCGTTGTCATTCAAAACTAAATTTGTTTTATGTACTTTAATCGCTCATATTTTTATGGTGCGTGCAGGAATTTTGTTTTTGATTTCAACATCACAATTTTTAATAACTTATTGTTGTGTGCATGTGTGTGTCTCATAAAACACATTTCAATGAAATGCGCCTTGCCTGAGGTCAAGTGTCGTTCATGGCGGCTTATTAAATTGTTATGCTTTGAGCCTAAAAATAATAATTAGGCAAATTCAATACGTGACAATGAATGTAACAAGCATCTAGATTTCATGGTATGAAGCATTTGAGCCATCCTCGTCTATCTGTTTGAATGTATGAACACTTAGATCTGCGAGATTAAAAAAAATGTGCAATCTTAACTCACATTTATTAGACATTGATGAGCCCTAGACTTTCTCTAGGCCCTCGATAAATGATTGAGCAGGGTTTTTTTCAATGAACGTCAATTTGATGTTCTGTAAATACATAATAGGTACTTAAAAATGGGGGCTTACATTTCTTTACTACGGTGTTTAGCACAAGTTGCTAAACAACGAAAACCTGCAATGTACCCTGTGATCTTTGAGGCTATAAAAAGCTAGATATTGCGAACTTGGTGAGCATAATTTCTTTATATTGTTGCAAATAAAATTTCGTTTAGGTTTCCTACATTTTACACTTTAATCTTACTATAAGCGTTTGAAATTTGTTCAGAACATATTGACATCATAAAAGAACAACTACTGGAAAAGTTTAAAGAACATATCTTTGAAATCAAAACAAATCATGTTTCCTAAACATTGTTGAGAGATTTCACTAATCATACATACATAGCTGATCTTACTAAAAATCAATTAAAAGAAAAATCGTGTTCACACACACTATATTTATCCAAAAACAAAAGAAGATATGCTCACATATAAATATAGTTTAAATAGTATATAACATAATTTAAAATAGTCAACCTGCGAACAATCTCCTATAAGAAAGCAGTATTTTATCATAAACAACTCTCTAAGAAACAATCGATTAGATCTGTCCAATAGAAGTTTTAACAGTTTTCTCCAGATTGGTAGCTCGATACTAGTCTAATGGAATTTCCCACTGACATTTTCAAAAGGCCTGTCACCTTCGGCTCGTTAAAGATAACGTTTTATTTTGTTTAATAGCCACCGGAAGCACCTTTTGGCAGGGCACTTGATTTGAAGTGACAATGACAAATAAATATAATCTACATAGCTGAGATCTGTAGCTCATGTAAGAGAATGGAAATTGCGTAATCGAATAGATCAGTGGGCGAGTGTTAACCGCAACAGCCGCAACTTTATTATCAAGCAGAAGAAACAGAAACCGCAATAACAAATATATCGCTTCAGATACGAATACATAATATTGGCGTATCACATCGCATTGGCCGCAATCGTTTAATCGTTAAACGTTTAACGTGTGTTTCTGCTCATTTGTTTATCGTTTTTATTTTTCATTTATTTTGCAACTGAACACCAACCAAACAAGCAAACAAGTGAACAAGCATACAACAACAACAACTACTACTGTAATATTGACAACAAAACGCCCTGCATCAACCAATTGTCTTCATAAAACGCTCAATTAGCCAGCCGACAATCAGACAGCTCAGACAGTGGGGCTCGATTGCAATCGGGTTTCCATTTAATTATTGTTGAGCCAAGTGTCGGCCGCCGGGCAAAAATCGGCTGCTCAAGTTCGGCGCCCATATTGTGCCACTTGTTGCTATAGCTGTTTTATAATAGCCCGTGATCAGCCGCCTGCCTATCGCCTCCAGCTCGCCACTCTGCCTCAATGAACATTGCCAGAGATAATGCCATTAGAGGTCATGCGTAAATCCATAAAAATGTAAACAACATGAAAACTATACTTCCTTTATTTTCATTTTAAACAATCCAAATAATTATGAAATCATGTTTGCAACACTCTTGGCTGAGCATTAATCTAAAAATTTGATAAGGTTTTATTATAGCTGTTCAACGCATGAGTAATACACTTTAGTTTGTGTTCTACTTATTGATTAGATCCAACATTCATCTCTAGAAATGTTTAGATAACAGTTAACTGCAGTGATAAACTCTTGAAAGAAATATTTTCCTGTTTCAGGAGAACGTCAAAACTCATTTCAGAATTTTTGTAAATTCCTTTAAATAATAAATTAAAAAATACTTTATATCTCAGGATCTACTCCCAACAATATGTGCCTGATAATTTTTGTTTTTCAGCTGCAGTAACAAAGGCGGCAATTAATTATTATATGTAATAAAAATGATTTGTGTGAAATTTATTTAAAATCTTAACGACGAAATTAGAAAATATATAATGAAATACTGTTTAAGCAACACAAAGACTAAACAGCATACCATCCGTGCTTTTCAGGAACTCCCAGATCCAACAATATGTAATAACTAATTAAGCTACAGACTGTGTTTAAAATGTTTCAAAGAACGTTAAAAAGTTTATAGAGTAATATGTACACGTTCTTGCTATAGTGACTAGCCGCTTTCTAAAGATTGTAAATAAATCTCTTTAAAAAACCTCTAAAAAGCAAAAATATTTATAATCTTTATACTTTTATTAACTATTAATTTGATTTGGGTGTGATATTTTCTACAAATTTTAGTAGGATACAATGAATTTAATGTTCCTCTCTTTGTACGCATGTTTCCATCACTACTACTTCCAAACTTTTGAAGCTATTGAGTTAAAACCTGACGCTCTTTTTACAAGAAACAGATAATATACAACTACGAACAACAGCCATGTCAGATTAATACTAATATCATAAATACGATATCATAAAAACGATATTCCTTCAGATGCTACTCCAACACTAAGTGCTGCGAAAGGCGATTATGAATGATAAATAAATGCAAATTAAATATACGTTTTAGGCAAAATATTGTAGATAGTGCTACAGTCAGCGACATAGATTATGTTCGAATGAGGGATATTATAGAGAAGAGTATATAGATGTCGATCTTTCGTTTTATTTCCTTTTCATTCCAGGGTTTTTCTTGAACTTTAAAAATTTCTAGGCACCTAATGTTCTAATTTGAAAAGCAAATCCCATGCTCTTATGCTTCCCATAGTTGATAATGTTGCTTACCTTACGCAGTGCCAACAACGGCGGCTGCTGCAATAGTTGCTGTTGTTGGCATGTTTGCAGCCGCCGAAGTCAACGGGCCGTCACTTGGCGTGGGTCGCGTATTTATATCCACAGAAACAATTTTCGGGGCCAATGTGATTAAAGTTGATATTAAATTGAATTAATGTTTAAAGCACACGCGACACTCCAAGTTGGATTTCCCACTTATTTCTTATTTTTGTTGTGGTTGTTTTTGTTGTTATCTTAGCTGTGCTGCTGTTATTTCTGCCAACTTGTTGCTGATGAGCTGCACACACACACAAACAAACAAATAAACGTACAAAATAACTGTAAATTCGTTGCTGTTGCTTTTGCTGTTTGTATTTTAGTTGTGGTTTTTTATTATTATTATTTTTATTTTGTTTGTTGTCACAGTGAAAATATCTTTTCTTTTGAATGGAATTTCTGCGCGCGAGCCCGAGCGGCGTACAGCAATCAACCGGCCAAGCGACAGCAGAAAAAGCTTTTGCTTGACCTCTTCACTACTACGGACGGCGACTGCGGCCACATTCCAGCGAGCGAGTGTTGTTTTTTTTTTATTGTGTGTAGGCGCGCAGGCGCTGTGAATGGGGCTCGCCTGTAATGTAGTTGTTGTTTTTGTTGACGACAGTGGATGGATGGGCGATGAGAGGGGACAACAAATACGTTTTAATCAAACTTGTTGTTGCTGTAGTTGTTGGGGCCACGGGCCACGCCGATGCACAGCGAGAGCGAAGGAGAGACGTTAAATTCGTTGATTATGCGCTTGTGTATACGTATAATCGCATATGTGTGTGTGTGAGAGAGTGTTGCGCTCTCTGTCAGCAGCGGTTTTGTTGTTGCCCGAAAGAATGCTGTTTGCTTGGTTGCTGTTGCTGCTTTTGTTGTTGCTCGTTTACTGCCAGTGCGAGGCACAACTTTCAGTGTCGCGTATGATTCGTATATACATATGTATGTATGTATTTTTGTTTCTATTGCAGACTATTTGACTTTTTATTATTATGATTACTTTATTTTTATTTTGTTAACATACTTATTTTTATTTTAAAATAGGTACACACTCGCGTAATCCTTGTCTGTCGTTTTTGTTTTGCTTCGGACGGCGAACTAAAACAAGCATGGCCCGCAACGATATTTGAAACAAAATACGAAGCGTTTTCTTCCTTTATTAATTTTTTGTTGTTACACAAATTTTATTTTATCGTACGGCACTTGTAATTCAACGCCACACTTGGCACTCGAAACTCGCCAAAGAAACGAAACGAAACGCGCACACTACTGGCGACAATCTCCAATGGGGCCGCCGCTGTTCTGTTGACGTTACTGCGATCGCGACGCCGTTTTCAGCTATGTAGCCGATAGATAGTATGTATGTGGATGAGTGTATGAGTGTGTGTATGTAGTAGTGTTGGAGCGTTTGCGACTTCGTGTGTGTGTATCTGTGCTCTGGTGGAGAAGGCACCAGCGCAAAAGCCACAACTCTCGAACCTCGCAACTAGTTGAACCGCTTCGTTCAGCTACAGAAATCAAACTGAAGTCCAAGTTGAAAAACTGAACGAAGCCGACGGTGCCGATGTCGTTGCCGCTGCTTGTCCGCTGCTCAACTGGTTGTGGAGACAACAGCAAAAGTGTTGCCAATTGCAGAGTTTTAAAAAAAGCTAGATCATTAATGAAAGCAAGCCATAAATAGCTAAATAAGTTATACAAGCATGGTCACATTTTTGAATTTGTTTATATTATTTTGTTTGTTAATCGAATTCAAAAACGGGAAAAGGCTTCATAATTCTGGTTGAAAGCTGACTGACACAAATTATACAACTGCGCAAAATCTTTCGTTCCATTGGTGTACGAGAAGTCTGTGTTAATGTATTTTAACTAACATAAAGTATAACAAGAAGCAATTTTACATTATCTGCTGTATAACATACAGAAATAGAGTTTCAGACAAGGTTAACTTTTAAAATATTATATTGCAATCAATTTTGTCAGCAACAGTCGTGCAATTGTTCCCGAAATCGGCATTTGAGTTACTTCAGACCTGGCGGAAAAATAGCTGAATTGGCAACACTGAACAGCAACAACAATTATGTGTGCGAGTATAAGTGAGTAAATGTATGTTTATGTGTGAGTATCTCCCACTGAGATTTAAGATTGGAATGCGTCGTTTTCATGATAGCGCGCACGTAAGTGAGCAAGTGAGTAAGTAGTAGGTAGAGTAGTGTTTGTGCAAGAGAGAGAGAGAGAGAGAGCGAGGGAGAGAGAGAGCAAGCCATGGAGAACAGCAACGAGCGATCGTTTTGTATCTGGTATCTTGTAGTATGCAGCAGCACCACCACCACCAGCAACCAACAACAACAAGAACGACTCAGGAGCGACCAGGTTGAAATCGTTGGCAAAAGAATTCGGCGGCGGCAACGTTGTTGTCGTCGTTGACGTTGCTATTGTTGTTGTTGTTGGCGCTGGCATGTTGTTGCCTTTAGGGTGAAGCAGAACTATCGTATATATTTTCTATAGCAATAACTACACACACACACACACACATACACATCTCCACAATCATATAAGCATGCCTTGCAGCATAAGAGCTTTATAGACAAGCTTTAAATAAAGCATCGCATGCCGCCGCGTCCCAAACCAACATTTTGCCAAATCTATGCATACGTACAAACATAGCTAAAGCCGCACAAACAATGCTAAAACTACAACAACAACAATAGCAGCAACATTAAGCTCAAAGCAAACAATAACAAAACAACAACAACAACAGCAACATAAACGCACAGGTAAATAGTGAAAAATAAATAAAAACTTCAGAATCCCAGTAGCTAACTGAAATGTCAGTGTGTAAGTGAAATTCCAATGTTTTATCTTGGCAGGCAGGCGGCAGCAACAACAACACTAGCCGAAATATGTAGTTTGACAAACTATGCAGTAGGTACTTATGTACATGTATTGGCATATCTCAGAATCAGCGTCTAAAAATTACTAAAAATGCAATGGGTGTATCCTGAAAGGCTTATCTTTTAAAAAAAAATCGAAAGTATTTTCAAATACAAATTCGAGAGTGTATAATGTTTACAAACTATTCTATGCTAACGATTTTAAAAATAGGATTTTTATAGAGTTTAGTTTGTAGTTCGTATTGATCAAACTATCATATGCATTTATTGTGAAGAGTAAAACTTTGTATAACTATATGTATGAGTGCCAAATTACTTTAGTTTTGATTGCTAATTATACTAATTTCTATTTGATATTGATGTGACTATCATAATAATTTTTGAACTCTGGATTTACTCGTACATATAGTCAATGTACATATGTATTTGGGGAAATCATTTATAAATTTCTATAAATATTACAAGCACTGTTTGTACTTGAATTTGTACATTTGTATTTAGAACTTAATACAATATAAAACACATTTTATAATTTTTAATAATTTATTAATGTTTAATTTTTGTATACAGTAATATACTTCTCCCGAATAAATATGATATCTGTTCAGTTCAAGCTTACTAGAAATTCCTTAGGAGTAACTTTAAAAGTGACAATATTTTCGTGCTTTTGATTTACTTTCTCCATTACATAATACAATATAATGCTAGTCCCAATACAAATATGATTTAGTGTAGTATGTGGAAGAAAACGCGCCAACCAAAACGAAGGAAAGTGCGAGGCAAGGCCGCGGCAAAGGCAGAGCAGCAACGAAAAGAGTCAAGAAGAAATACATACATACATACATCCACAAAGCTACATACATACATAAGGCCAGACCATGTTAGCTTTTGAGACCAGGGGGCAGCAGATATGGTGCAAAGCAAGGAGAGATATATGAACGCGCATTCGAACTGGAGTTTGAGCCCAGACCGGGCCCGGGCTGCTGCTGGCCATTTGCCATTTGTAAGCGGCCGTCGCAAGTCCATCTGTCCAGCCGAGTGTTTCCAAAGAGCTCTATACTCAAACATACATGCATACATACTATATAGACATACAGACAAGCTGCTACGATATCGTCACTTGGGCGCATTCCTCAGCATAATGTGAGCTTGATTTGCTGGATTCTTTTTGCTCTGCACGCTCTCTTTGCCTCTCGCTCGCACGCGCGCACACTTGAAATTATTTTGTTGCCGTTTTTTTATTCCATTTTTTAAGTTTTTTTTTTATTTATTTTCACACACACACAAGCACACTGACAGCCTTATAGTTGGAGCCACGTTCTTGGCATCGTCGGGTTGTGGGTCGGCATTGGCTCAGGCAGCCGCCAGAACTTGTAGAACGTCTAGGCCGCCGAAGTCGAAGTCGACGCCGACTCCGCCACCGCCTTGCCATGCCCGCTACGATTTCTTCAAGTGTATATATCGCTATGCGTTTTTCGTCGTATCGCTCTGCGACGTCGTCTAAGACCGGTTGTTGTTGTTGTTGCTGCAGCGGCCGCTGCTGCTGCTGCTGCCGCCGTTCCAAAGCGCTTCGTTCTTGGTCAACATTGTGGAGCTTGCTGTAAAAAATAAGAATTAAGAATTGTGTGTCTCAAAAATATTTCGTGCCATTGCTTGAAGACCGCGTTTTGTTTGTTCAATGTTCAGTTTTTAATAACTTTTTAATTCGCATATATATGTATAGTATATTGTTTTATGAGCACCATCTATTGTACATACATATTTATTAAATATTTATTTTATGTATTAGCATCTTTACTTATTTTTATTTAAACACACATTTAGTCTCTTTGATTAATTTGTGTGTTCAATCATTAATCCTTTTTGTTTACGTTTGCAATTTTTGTAGAATATTTGAATTCTATTTAACAGGTCTGTTAATTATTTATTAAATACGTTAGTATCTTTAGTTATTTTTGATTGAAACACAAACAATTATTTAATTATTAATCAATTAATGCTGTATTTTTAGTTATTAATTATGCACCATTCATTTCTTTGCTTACATTTGTCATTGCTAGTTATATTTATATTGATTATATGTATAGCTTTTAAATTGTATAATTCAGCATCTTGCGTAAACAGGTTCCTCTGTTTGTCTATCCAGAGTCTTTGAAGGTTCAGGGACATGAATTCAATTATTAATTTTAAAAACCTTTTTTAATTTCAAAATTCACTTCATAAATTCAATTCTATTTAAATAAAAAAGAATGTAACTTAATCTAAAAAGATGGCAATAATTTAATGTGTACTATTTTTTAATATTAATATTCTTGATGTCCCTGCTCGGATGAAGCTTGTTATCCAAGCCAGGCGAAGTAATATTCGATCCAAATATAAGTAATATTCTACTTATACAAGTTTTGATTTACACGATAAATATTGCCTTTGAACTTGTGCCTCACACATCAATCTTAAAGGCGCAGAAAATGTGAAACTGTTCATCGCTTTATATCAAATCTTAAGTGATATAATATTTCTATACCTATAGAAGAATTTATTTACTCAGCAGCAAAGAGTAGGCCCCCTATATGCGCTTTGCGATCAACGATCTGGCACCTGGCAAAACCCGGGCGGCTTAGTTCAACTATTTATTTATAAATCTAAACAACTCATACTACAAATACTATTACAACAACTACTACCACTATTCCTCCTCCTCTTCCTGCTACTACCAGTAGTAGTAATACGAAGCCCGTAATATGAAAAACTAGACTAGTTTCGGTAGCCGAAAGCACAAATTTTAATTCATCTCCATTTCCATATTATTTTTTGGTACTTTAAAAATCATAAGATTAATTTTTTTATTTAATTTGTTTTATTTGTTGTAATCATTTCGAATATTTTGCAAATTGTCGCTTCCTTATTATTTGAATAATTTACATTCATTTATATTTCGTGTTCATTCTTATATTATTTTTGATTAATTATGCTGTGCTTGGCTTGGTTTCTGGTTAGCCCTTTATGTATTGGCCACGCCAGCAGAATTGGCGCGCAACCCGGCAACATTCTGCGACTGGTCCTGTGGCTGCTTCCTTTCCTGCTCCAACTTGTGCAGCTGCCACAAACAAACACACACGCAAACACACACACACACCCAACTCTTTTCCCACTATACTATACTGTTCGAAATTCCGCGCAAGTTCTTTTTTTTTTATTGCTGATTTTGGCGAAGCTTGACTGCGAAACGGGCGGTAAGGTGAGTAAATACGCCTGGAATTTATTGAATATGTGTCTGGGTGTGTGTGTGTGTGTGCCAGCTCGAGTATTCCTATATAAATATATATGTGTGTGTGTGTCAAGTGCCTGTATGTGTTTTCTTATTTGTATTTTCGTTACGCTTCATTGCCATCGCATATTTTGTTTTTATTATGGCCAAATATTGTTGGCCAGTCATGCCCCACGATAATGTTAATGGGACGATCGCTTGGCTCGGCTCGGTTTGGAACGGTTTGGATCGGGCTCAGAGCGACGCGCCCTGCCCCACCTCGCCACCCGCCACTCACCTCTCACACCACATACCCTTTATTTCGTACAAGTATTTGTCGTCGTCGACATCG